TCGAATAAACCACACAAAAGAGGAAATCTTGTTTCTGTCTACCAGAAAGCCAAATTCAATAGAGCTGGTTGTATTAAGCACAATTTACATTCTTAAATTATCAACCATGTTCAAACTTATCCAATCACATTGACATGAGGATAAATCAGTTCAAAAGGCAAAGCCAAGACCGTAAGGGGTTACAGGATATCAATTGCTGGTTATCAAATAATTTGAGTCCGAACCTATAAAATTCAAAACAACGATAGACAAATTGCCAAGCATAATTATAACCTCATGTCCACGTGCAGTTAAAGATGTGCCAATCTAAAGAAATTAGGAACAAACAACAATACTGTTTGAACACTTACAGACGACATTCAACACTGCTTCCATGATTGCAGAAGGGACAGCTAAAAACAGTGTCAAGCTTATCCATTCTCTTCTTGGGCGGTGGCTTTGCCCTTGACTTCCTTTTCCCCATAATTCAACTCAAATCTAAGACCTGACAAAATTGAAAGCCATTAGTTAACATACCACCCAATTAGCATTGAAACATTCTAATCTAAACTTAGTAATTTTAACATCCCCACCCAAAAACATATAAGAAAAGCGAGAATCTTTCACTCAAATTATGAGCTTCTGCCTCACCGTCCTCAATACTAAAACGTCGCTGAAGCTTGAACCAAATAAATACAAACGTTGACCTAACCCAAGAAGCTCCAATACCTTTTGATGAAAAACTCGATGAGTTCTACGATACCCAGAAATCATAAACAACGAATAAAGACTCAGGCTTTGTTTGGGCTCAAGAAAATTAAGCAGAAAAACAAGAACAAAAAAAAATCCTCAACTTCAGAAAGACCCTAACTCAACGCGGAAAATCCCTAAATCTTCAAAACCTAAAAGTTGAAGAAATTGAATGAAAATTTTAAGAAAACAAGGTTGAAATCCATCGATGGCAACAAGAAAGCAAGAGAAGATCGGAACAATTACCAGAATTGAAGAAGCTGAGCCGGTATCCCTAAACAGATCGCGCAAGGAGGACAACACCAAGGTGGGGTTTTTTTATAGAGGAAAAATAAGAGACTGCAGTTTCAAAGTCCACGGCGGAAAAGAAAAATGTGTCCCCACTCCCCCAGTATGAAAAGGACTATATTGCCATTAATAAATGTTCATCCATCACTCATTTATTAATTACATTTTAAGAGGGGTTTAGTTAATTATTTTAATATAATTGATAATTAATAATTAATGTTTAAATTATTATGAGTTTATTTAATTTGTATTTTAAAAATACAAATTAAATTTTATTAATTATAAAATTTGTAATTAATT